ATAAATATGATGGGAATTGGGAAATAGCAGTGATGTTTATGCATTGTTCTGCAGCTTTCCGTTGAATATAATTCGCACTCCCAGTTGAAAGACTCAAGTAATATGATTGAGGAAGAAGTATTGGCAAGTCTTGCTTTAGGATTAACCGTTGATGAACCGAAAAGTGATTATCAGTTTGGGCCTTCAGCTCCTGCGGTCTGTGTCAAAAAGGAACTTCGCCAATTTGGTGGCTGTAACTGTGATGAAACTCAACTTCCTCTTACTACCATTGAAGGTTCGTCTGGTGATTTTTCTGAAATTCAACCTGCTGAAACAAGTCAGATTCGAAGTGACTTAGGCGAGTCAAGTTTTTCTGCCGCAGGCGCAGTATCAGGTTGTATAAGTTACTCAGGGTCTATACCTTATTCTGGAAGCATCTCTATTCGATCCGGCAGTAGCACTACCAGCACGCGGTCCTTTGCATTTCCCATGTAAACTTCCACCAAAAAACCTTTTAATTCAATATACTTATCTGAATGTAATAGTTTGTATATAAAAGGTTCAATATACCATAAGGCATATTTTCAATATGTTCTTCACCATGGCATTGCTTATCTCCTATTTTGTCTATGATTTTGTTACTGCTTATATCAGTTTCATCCATGCTAAGAATGAATGTTGAGGAGATTTAGAATGAACCATAGATAAAACAATTGGGAAGGTAAAACAATTGGGTGCAGAGCTTTCATTCTGCAGCAATTGAGTTGAACACACAATAGAATGACAATGATTTAGAATGAACCATAGATATATCATGATGTCATTTGATCCATGTTAATTACCAGATGTGATCATAGTACCCAGGCAGGCAATATATTTAGGAGATACTTTTTCTTTCCTTGTTGTCAATGTTGCTTCACAATGGTAGCTTTATTTCATTCATTCATACTCATGAACTATTTTTGTGTTATTTTTAAATTTCTATTCAAATTATTTATTTCTTATACATATCTCTGTTACTTCAAATTATAGAAGTTTGGTACTGGAATTTATTTAAATCATTTTCTTTCTTCCTTTTCCTCTTAAAAATTTAACTCGGCCGGACAAATAATGATGTGTGTTGCTTTGCCTGATAGAAAAACCCTATGCGTATTTTTGGGTTCAGTGATGCATTTTTTATAGCCTTGTTGTGCTTAAGGGTATCCCAAGTCTAGAAAAACTCTATTGAAAGTGAATTCATCTCTAAAACGAGCAAGTATATCCATCTTTGTATTTTCATGGGTTGAAATCACAATGAAATTTAAACAAAAATAGTCGTTCATGCTCATTTTAGAGGAGCCTTGTCTTCCAAGTCCCATGATGGTTGATGGATGTGTGTGATTGATGCATGTGATCTATTTATTGAATAAAATTTGGCTTACTGACGTTCATTAGGTTGTGAATTGATACAGTCTCAAGGCTCTCTTATTACACCGGCAAGTTCATTAGGCTACGGACTGACACAGTCTCAAAACTCTCCTTATACACCGGTAAATTCAAATTCGAGCTCTATTTCTGATCCAACTACGTCGTGGATTCCATCAGAAGACTTAGATTCTGGAACCAATAGTGCTTTTACTAATGGTGAGAACTGATATCTAGATAATTGTTGTTTTATTTTGTTATTGTTGTCATAGATACTGTTGTTTTCTTTCCATGACTAAATAGAAGCTCAACAGGTGGAAGTCTTGAACAGAAGCTCCATGAGATTAATACACTTGATTGGGATAACCTAGTGGCTTCTCATGTTAATACTACTACTATACCTAATGGAGGAGGTAATTGTTTGTGCAAATGTGCTTTATTAGAAGAGAAAGAACCTTACAATTTAATACTTTAATTTAAAATTTGGCAGGAAACGAACCACATTTCTATCAACAAAATCAAATCTTAATTAATGGAACTGTTATCAATGTAAGATAATTTTTCCTTTCATTTGTGTTGTTATCTATTCTGCTCTATGTTGAGCTATCTCATTTCATTTATGTTTTGTGGATGGTGTTATGGTGCCACTAACCTATAGAGTTTTTATGACCAGGTTGCTGGTAGTCCTTCTGCAGAAGAATGTGTTAACCCTCAGAAGAATCATGCGATCACTTTGGGCTGTGCTGATATCGTGGAGGACACTTTAGTGAATGAAGGCTTGCAAAGTCAGAACAACTTTGGAGTATGGATGAATAATGCCATATCTGATATACCATGTTCTGCATAGGCATCAGCTCTTGAATCATCAATTGCTTCATCTGGTCATGATTCGTTTTCATCCCTGCCGATAGACAATAATCAACAAGCTTCACTTCCGGAACAAGTGTTTCATCTCACTGAAGTGGCCTCTGCATGGGCTTCTTCCACTGAAAAAACAAAGGTTTCCTTTTGCTTTTTTTCATATGTGTGTTTGCTACCGTTCTTTTGTAATTATAACTGAACATTCATGTTGCTTTACTTCTTACAGGTCCTGGTAACTGGATATTTTCAGAATGATTATCAACACTTTGCGAAGTCCAATCTAGTGTGCGTCTGTGGTGAAACAAGTGTTCCTGCAGAAATTGTTCAGGTTGGAGTTTACCGATGCTGGGTAATGCCACATTCTCCAGGATTCGTAAATCTCTATTTGAGCTTTGATGGCCATAAGCTTATTAGCCAAGTTGTTAACTTTGAGTATCGTACTCCTATTTTGCACGACCCTACTTCTTCGATGGAAGAAACATACAACTTGATTGAGTTTCGACTACAGATGAGGCTTTCTCATTTGCTTTTTAGAATGCAAAAGACCCTTGACTTTTTCTCTAGTAAAGTATCACCTACTGCACTCAAAGAGACCAAAAAAATTCGCCTCCAAAAAAATATCAGCGGTTCGCTCAAAACCACCACAACGGATCCAGTCAATCCCGAGAACCTTACTGAGGACCAATTGTACCTAAAGGATACATTGGCAGCTTACCGAACAACAGCTGAAGCAGCAGCGCGCATACAAGCTGCATTTAGAGAGCACTCTCTGAAATTGCGTTATAAGTCGGTTCAATTTAGCAGCCCGGAGGAGGAAGCTCGCCAAATAGTAGCAGCAATGAAGATTCAACATGCCTTTCGCAACTTTGAGACCAGGAAAACGATGGCGGCCGCTGTTCATATTCAGCATAGATTTCGTACGTGGAAGTTGCGTAAAGAATTTCTCCACATGCGACGTCAGGCTATAAAAATTCAAGTAAGAGCAGCTCTTTCCATATCTTTTATCGTTGATTCTCTATGTGATCTCTAAAGTTCTAAATATAAACAATAGAAACTAAAGCAGGTAAAATTCTTTCCCAGATCTTGAGAGATATTCAACCAACAAATTTTGTTCACTAAAAGTTGCATCTTCTTGAGTTGTTGCTACAATTTACAGAATCTTTTCTTTTCTACTAAATAATAAACATAGTCTTGAAAAGCTTGATTGCTTTTATGTTAAATGCAGGCTGCATTCAGGGGCTTTGAAGTGCATAGGCAATATCGGAAGATTTTATGGTCTGTTGGAATTCTTGAGAAAGCAATTCTGTGTTGGCGTTTAAAGAGAAAAGGTTTCTGCGGGCTTGAGGTGAATCATGTCGAAGACATGATAAATGAGAAGCATGAAAGTGATGTAGAAGAAGACTTCTTTAAGACTGGTAGGAAACAAGCAGAAGAACGTGTTGAGAGGTCCGTGGTACGTGTACATGCAATGTTCTGATCGAAAAAAGCGCAACAAGAGTATAACATAACTGAGTTTTATTGTTGCTTGTTTTGGTTTTTCTGTTGTTGCAGGATTTGGAGGTGTATTAAATTGAAGAAGAATGAAGAAGAAAAATGGCAGAGAGTGAAGAGGAAAGGGAGAGTGAAGAAATTGTGTAGAGACTGAATAAGAGGTGAATTATTTTGGATTTATAGAGAATGAGGTGAGATTAGAATAGGAAGTTTGGAGTTTGTTTATAAAGTTTGTTATGGAAATGTTAGTTAAAATTTGTAATGGTTGTTATATCTTGGCTGGCACTGAGTTGTTTGTTGTGAAAGTTAGCAACTAGAAGACTACAAAACTGATTATGAAGGGCTCATGATGATATTAGAAGACCACAAGTGATTTTCTTTATTGGTGCTAACTGGAAGTAATTTTTAAGCTTTTGTAGATGTTCATGTCTATCCTCTAAGGCAAAATCATACCAAAGAATTCTTCAGCCATCGGTAGAAAATCTTGGATCATCACTTGGTGTGGAAAATTGGGCAGAATATCTTGGATCATCATAGGTTGTACAATTATATTGATTATATTGTATATATGAAGTTATAGATTAAGACATTTGATCATTTAGATATTCATAAGTATATATTTAGTAGAAAATATAATAAGTTATTTAGAAAAGTGATATAATGAAATATCAATTGTTTTTTAAGTTATATAAATTTATATATTTGTTATATGTGAGTCTTTATATATTTGATATACGTGAGTCTTTATATATTTGATATATTACCAAAAAAACAATAATAGTTTAAATTAAAAAAATTATTATAAAAAAAATGAGATGAAAGTAATTTAAATAAAAATAGAATATTATAAAAAAAATTCTATAGATAAAATTACGACGGTCTAAACCGTCGCAACTAGCATAAATAATATTTAGAATTAGTAAATATAATTACGACGGTTGAAAACCGTCACAATATGGAGATTACGACAATTAGCTACCCGTCGTGAAAATAAATAATATTTAGAATTAGTAAATATAATTATGACAGTTGAAAACCGTCACAATATGGAGATTACGACAGTTAGCTATCCGTCGTGAAAATAAATAATATTTAGAATTAGTAAATATAATTACGACGGTTGAAAACCGTCACAATCAATATGGAGATTACGACAGTTAGCTACCCGTCGTGAAAATAACGACGGTTTGTACGACAGTTTTCACAACTGTCGCAATACGGCCTCGCGACGCACGTTTCTGCGACGGGGTTGAAACCGTCGTAACTTACAAATTGCGACGGTTAAAACCATCGTAATATGTCAAAATGAACCTTCGCAATTTGCCAATTTTCTTGTAGTGGTAGTCCCAAGAAGCTTTCCTTGTAGACTTTGAATACGTTAAGAACTGTGAAGACCTCTGGAATGTGAATATGTAGTCCTGTTGTATGCTAGAACATGCCGCAATCACGTGGGAGCAAGGCAAGTGAAATGCTTGAAATTTTCCACAGTCACACAAACGATTCCTCAAGTCAACGCTGAAAGTACCCGTTGGACGACCATCGTTGTGGTTAATCTTTTCCTGCACCATGAAACAGAATCTTTCGCGATCAAATTGCATGACATTGTGTGTGTTAGCCTTAGCTACCTCATCAGCCATTCCCTTGTTACAACCATCTGTGAAAACTTTCCCTGAAGATAGTATTTTGGTCCATTTGTGTCCTTGTTTACCAAAGAGTGAACCCATTCGATAGTATGTAGACTGGACCAAAGCAGTGATTGGAAGGTTTCTTGTTGCCTTTAGTACAGAGTTTATGGCCTCTGCCAAGTTAGATGTCATATGTCCCCAACGTTGCCCTTCGTCAAATGCTCTAGCCCACTTCTCCCTATGAATGTTGTCTATCCAATTTGAAGCCTCAATGTTTGTTCTTCTAATTTCTTCGCGATAGTAATTAAATGTAGCCTCCGTCAATGCGTAACCTGTAATAGAAATTGTGTGAAAACATAATAAAAGTGTGATACAAAACGTGAGATAAGTGAAATGTATTTTGTTACCCATGTTAACAAGTTTTTTGCGTAGATCCTTCTCCTTAATCTCGCGCATAAAGTTCTGAGCAATGTGTCTAATGCAGTAGACATGTGAAGATGGTGGATTTTGCCATCCGTTTTCGGGATTGTTGTATGCACTCTTTATCAATTCATGTCTGTCAAATATTAGACACAAATTAGGTTGTGGTGTCACGTGTAATCTCAGGTTCCTCAGAAAGAAGCTTCATGCTTCCTTTGTTTCACCTTCAACCAATGCGGATGCTATTGGGAAAATATTTGCGTTGCCATCCTGTGCCACCACCATCAATAGAGTTCCTCTGTACTTGCCATACAACCAAGTTCCGTCTACTTGCACAATGGGCTTACAGTAGGCGAAGCCACGTATACACGGACGAAATGCCCAAAACAGACGATGGAATATTCGTTTTCCAGAGATTTGGGAACCATCATTTGAAATTGTAGGTAGGGTTTGCAAATCTATAATGGTTCCTGGAAGGAAGGTTTTCAGTACCAGTATCCACTGTGGCAGGTCGTTGTAAGATGTTTCCCAATTGCCATGCAGCGACTCTACCGCCTTGCACTTAGCGATTCATGCTTTCCTGTAAGATATTATGTACCTGTATTTTTCAAGAATATGGGCAATGATCACCTTTACCTTAAGTGAGGCATCTCAGTTGACAAGTCTCTGATGCTATGGCTAACCATTTCTGAACTGAGCTTCCTATGGTCTTGTGCCATAGACGTCGTAGTGCATGTGTGAGATCCAGACAACTTACCGATCACCCATTTTGAGTTCCTTTTTCTCAAGGAAGCTCTGCACTTGAAACTGCAATCTTGTTTCTTACACTTAATTACATATCGTTCATTGTCAGATTGATAAACCCAATAGTCAACATTGTGTGTTATGTGCCAATGTTGCAGAGCGAGGACGCAAGCTTCCTTGTTTTCGAACTCCATTCCAATCTCTATTTCTTCACCTATATGGTTTGGAATGGCACTTCCAAACACGGAGGTTGTATCATGTTGTGCGAGACATATACTTTGCATATGCGCAGGTGGATTGTACAAACTTATGAGTTGTGCGTGAATCAGCTGCGTAGATGCGACAACTATATCTTCATTGTCTTCGTCATCGCTGTCAGCAAAAATATCTTGCATCCTGACCTCCTGAAGTTCGCCATCGCTTGCTTCTCTAACCTCTACAGTCGGTATGAAAGGTAGATTGTTTTGTGTTGGTTCGTCGTCAGATGTTTGGCTCATTCCATAGTAGTCTGACTGTGTCTCTTGCGTCGGAAATGTTTCGGGATTGTCTAGTAGTCGGACATACAACTCAATTGTAGGTAACTGACCAAACATCATGTGGCACCGAAACATTGCCTCCACGTCTTCGTCGTTCCTGATCGGCGCCATTATGTAAAAAATTATACAATCGTCTTCATTAAGTATAGGATGACGATAATTATCTCCTCAATGCATCGTGCTAATTTTTTTCCATTCTATCTTTAAAATGGAAAAAATCAAAACTGACATGAATTTTGAAGGCATAGGTATCTGTGTTGCTAAACAACAATCCAACAAGGCTATTTGTTGAAACAACACCATTGAAGTGGCATGTGAGAATTATATTTCTTTGAGACATTTTGGAGTTAAAAAATAAGTTCTTGTTAGTGAATTGAAGTGTGATAGGATATTGGATTGTTTATGATACATATAATCTGATACAAACAATTATATAAGACAAACATAGAATGAAGTGTGGAATATTGGCCCTTTGAGCTCGCCCACTCAAAGGGCGAGCATGCTCACGGCTAGGCCTTGCTCGTCCACTCCTTGGACGAGCTTACTCATATGCTTTGTGAATTCGTCCACTCAATGGGCGAGTGTATGATGCTCCATGGAGAAATTGTATTGCATGCACGAGACAAATGTGTAAGAGCTATTCTATTTAGGTTTGCATGCATGCAAATGTGTAAGAGCTAGTATATGTTACCAATGCCATGCAATTGTCATTTCATGCAAGTCTCACATTTACACTACCAACTTTCTATAAATTCAGATTTAATACAACCAAATTTCTACACACATTTTTAAGATCAACTACTCTCTTGCATTTCTAAACATAAAGCATTAAAAATCAACTACTCTCTTGCATTCGTAATACTCAATCATAATGGCATTGTTGTGGATGGACGATGAACACCGTGGAACACAACAAAATATTCAAGCTAGTGTAAGTTTTATTCATCTCTATAGTTGCTTGGTTAAATATTAGTTCATATCAAAAATAATGATTACATTTTGTTGGTTAAATATTGTTGCAGACTAATACCCCAAGGTTTAGAGTGCATTCTCATGCCCTCATTCAAGCGAGTGCGAGAATAATAGAGTATCTTGAAATAGCAGGTTTTGCTCAGATATCAAAAATAAATAGTCTCAAAATCGACTAAAGCTTAGTTGTGGCTCTGTTGGAGAAATGGTGACCGGAAACACACATTTTTCACTTCCCAACATTTAAATGCACAATAACGCTTGAAGATGCAAGATAGGCACAAAGGTATTTCTATATATATTCAACTATGCCTAACAATATTATATTTTTTATGTTTATACAAGATAGGCGCAAAGACGGATGAATTACGATGCAAATCCTCGTTTTCATCTACAAGGATATCGAAACGCATTGGACCATATGCAAGAAAAAGATGTAAGTTTGAAACCATAGAACATAGTTGTCGGTTCTACTCCTTAATGGTATCATAATTTTCTTTTTTATGTGGCAGTTTATATGGAGGCCGTAAACTCAATATCCGGTGCCCAATCTTCGCCAAATTGGAGTGCTACAACTTTCCTAATTTGTTTCTATACCGTTGAAATGCATCAAACGAATAGGGTAAAACTCCAGTTTGGATTTGAACAACAAATCCCTCCCCTGCCAAGGTGTCTAAGGGAACACCACACAATGATAATGAGAAAAGCCCAAAAAGTTCATTGGCGAGAGTTAAACAAAGAGGAGGTGAGAGAATGGAAACACAGAAGACATGTGATTTTGCAGGGGATGCTGTATTAGGTGAACGTAAGCCAAGCCAAGAGTATTTAACTTGGTTTCGTGTCATTCCTTATGTGCATATTACTCCAAACCAATTTTTGACAGACCCACGCATGCAAGGATCATCATCAACACAACCAACTGCCGCATCAATGCATGAGGACGTGCCACCAACCTACACATCTCAATTTAGGGCACGCATCTTCGTCAGCTCAACATACATACCGACAACAAACACCATACAATTCACTCCCTCAACAAAACTATAACTACCACTACAACTACAACCAACAATATCAACCCCAACCCTACCTCCGACCACCCATACAGTTCACTCCAGTCCCACCGCCCAACTTTGACCAGACCAACCCACATTTCCAATATCAAACCTTCAACACTTCATTCTCTCAACCCACATCCACCTTCACGCCTGATGACGTCTACTACCCAACCCTCCAACAAACCCAACCCGAAACCTACCAACACCGCAACCATCACAATCATTCCATTTTTTTTTTGCTGACAGAGGAGCAACTGATGCAAATGCAGAATTTTAACATTGATGATATTCTCGATGAGCAACCAGGACACTCTTCAAGGCAGGCAAACCCCCTACAGCACATCACAATGAAGACATGTTTTCCGACTCATCTCAATCACCTGCAAATGCAAATGAGCGTTTGGGCAGAGAATATCGACAACGAAGGACCACTAGGTGTGGAACTGGGGTTCATCTTCGATGAAATGTATTTTTGTTTAATAAATTTTATTGATGTAATTAAATTTTATTGTTGTAATTTAATCTTATAATGTTATAATTATTAACATTTCTTATAATATGATTTTATAATGTAATTATTATTAATTATTATTTTCTAATTAAAATTATTAAAAATTATTAACATTAACATTTTTATAATTAAAATTAAAATTATTAAAATTATTATTATTAATTATTATTTAATAATTAAAATTATTAACATTTTTTTAATATAATTTTTAATATTCAAAATTCACACATAAATCATTAATTAATTAAAACAAAAATAATAATAATAAAAAATTACACCCCCCACGTGCTCGTCCAATGAGTGGACAAGCAAGGCCTAGGCCCAATTACGTTTCACATACTCACATTGCTTTTTAGATGATCCCTATAGAAAGAAAAGGAGTATTTGAACAATCTCTTTTTTTTCTAGTTACTTCGTTCTCTATTTCTATTTGATAGAATCTTTAGGAAAAGAATAAAATTTTCGTCGAGCTAAAAAAATATATTGATGTTTCTAGTAAACTAAAAAAATCGTTTAATAGCTATTTTGCTTCACTCTCTCCTATACAAAAAAAATAAAAAAAAAATGGGAAGATTTAGTTACGATTGGAAACTAATTTTAGATATCTTTCTCCCTGGATCCTTTACTTATATTCAAAAATTGGGATTCTTGTGCAAAAACTTATGTTTCATAATTTTAGAATAAATTCTAAATTGTATACAAATTACGATAATGTATATTATTCCTCGAATTGCTCGTTGAGAGGTATAAAGGTTGAAATCACTAAAAGTAAGAAATAAAGTTTTTGATCGTGATATGAATCACGAAAGGGACCCCTTAACTATTAAGGGTTCGTTAGCCCAATCAGTGGATGAGCTCCCACTGCAGATAGGGCACTTGTGTAAAAAAAATTTAACATGGGGTATTTTGTAAAAAAAAAATTAACATGGGGTATTTTGAAATTTTGTATTTCAAAATGGAGAGCATTATTGGAAAAAAAGGTCTTCTTTCCTCGCCAGGGTATTGGATGAACATACCAAGTTATAATTTAACTCCATCTAAGATTGTAATAACTTTCTTAAAAGTGAATATGAAGATTTAGGTACTTAAAGGTACTGCAGATACTGAGAAATACAGTACAATACCCTACTCTAGTTATTAAACGGGAATAAAAAAAGGAAAGAGAAACTACTA